CCTACGGAGGTGTCACTGCACTGAATTCAGTTCAGAAACAGTTTAGGTAAGGGATGAGAATGGCTGCAAACACTTTTTCAGGAGTTTACATAGCAATACGAGCTTTATGCATAGCAAAAGCCAAACACATATAACCAATCTAGAAAGCTTCCAAAATGTTGCGAGACCTTGTTCCTTTTCCTTGTGTTTTGGCCATGTGCTCCTCTGGTACCCTTTGATCACAAGAAATGTGCCTGAGAAACAGCTTTTGGAGAGAACGGATCCGTAGAAACGCTAAATATTTGCCTTGAATTCCCGGTAATATGGCACGTTCCTATTTGGGATGCCTAGAGAAAGATTAGTAGTGCACACACCTCTGTTGCTGTCATGTTATTTGTGCAAGACCAGCTTTCCCCCCCACCCGCTAACAGGAGACCAGTAGTGAGATGGTAGCCTAGTGTTTGCAGCATTTTGAGCACAATAGGAAAGGTAGCACCGCACCCAGCTGAAACCACTGTATTCATTCCATTCACATTAGGTTAAAAAAAAAAAGCAGTTATAATTTTGCTATAGCTGACTCAGCCTGGATTTGAATCCAGGATCTAAAGGCAAATTAAATTTCACCATCCATATTAAGAAAGCAATTCAGCTTCTGAACTGGATCAGCTTTGATGCCACACTAAAGAATTTAGTTGAAATGTGGTATGATGAAAGACTCCTGTTCAGCAGCAGATATAATTATCAAACCGATCTTAATTAGATCATGAACTTGACTTTAGGATCCCCAAAGGAGTATTGAAAGCTTGGTCCAGTTACACTGAACTTGGTCCAGAACACTGAAGCTTATCCATCAAGATAAATATATTACTAGTTCTTTGATATGACAGCTGCTTGATGAGTGACAGAGCAAATGCCTTTTTAACTATGATTTTAAAACAGAATTATTAAACTGCACTAAAGTGTATGCTGTTATCTTTGAGGGAAAAAAGTATAGTACATGAAAACCAATTATTACAGAGCACATAGAGCACAATTTTTTAAGCACTGGTTTCAGAATTAAAAACATTTGAACAAAGGTTGTCTCTGTGGAGTCACTTTGTAACTAATTCAAGCCTTTAAATAGCTATTGTTTAAAAAAATTGTCAGCTACAGAAATTGTTTTTCCTTCAGATTCCAAATCCTGTCAAGCCAGGTTGATTAAAATGTTGCATTTAAAAAAAAAGAAAAAAGGCAATCTAATGATCCCTTATAAAAAGTGAAAACAGCAACTCAATTTTTAAAGCATCACGAACAAATGGCTATAGCCCATCTATCATTCACATATGGGTTCATGTAATGATTCTTCAATTAGAATTATTATCTGTACAGCAGCTGAAGACTGAGAACTGCTGATACACTGCAGATGAGAACATTTGCTAGTCTCTGGGCTCCAGCCTTTCTTAAAAAATGATGATTGCACAATATAGATGCTCAGTTTATATGTGTATTAAGTTGCAATGCCAGCATTTACATTTGCAACATTACAATTTTGCTTTCTTAGGCTCAAGAGAATTTGCTGCATCTGGTAGATTTTATTTGCTTTGTATCTTAGGCAATCGTTACGAACAAAGTGTGAATAGGCAGTATTATTGCTCAAACAGTCCTTCATTTTGTTCATTATCTCAGATTTCTTCACCGAAAGGGTTGTCAAGCACTGGAACAGGCTGCCCAGGGAAGCAGTTGAGTCACCATCCCTGGAGGTATTTAAAAGACGTGTAGATGTGGTGCTTGGGGACACGGTTTAGTGGTGGACGTGGCAGTGCTAGGTTAACGGTTGGACTTGATGATCTTAAAGGTCTTTTCCAACCTAAACGATTTTATGATTCTATACCACAAAAGGAGTAAACTAAGAGTGGGCCTGTGAGATGGCTCATTCAGTGTCAGTTTGCTTGCACTATATTATCCCAGTGCTATTTTTATAAGGCAAGACCACCTGCTCCTTCATTTCTTTCACCTATATAGATCCAGATAGAATAAGATGTAATAACAGAGGGAAAGAAAAGCATCTCACAGAACAGTTACAGGCACCATAAGAGAGGAAAGTCACTTTGGCAATTCAGACTGCAGCAATTTGAGGGGCCCCTGCCTACCCATGCACCCTGCCCTGTTGCCAAAGGTTACTGTCTTCAGAAGCAGGTATCTGCAGAATATACGTTCTGCAGAAGCGAATGGGAAATGTGCTAGCTCTACAGCCACTGCTTCTCATACCTGCAATGCTCAAACAGACCCCAGTTTCAGTATTTGTTAATACACTGTATGAATTGCAGTAGCTGCCAAGCAGACAGATCACTGCTACCTCTGCTACAGGGCAGTAGCTTTTGGCAGAGCAGCAGACTCAGTAGCAAGAATGGCAACCTCCTCAACTTCTCTTTCTGAATCCTCAGCTCTTCTGGAATATTTCAAGTGTTTGCCCGTTCCTGTTTCACGGCTGGTAACCACATGATCTGACCTGGAAGATGACGGAGATAGCCAGCTACATAAATAGTAGCTGTGAGATGGCCTTACTAAATGGGCATCTGTTCTTAGTGTTTCTGCTAGGATTCTTGCTGTATGAACCCCAAGTATGTTCTGAAGCCCAGGTAGCCTTCCTAGATGTCTCACTAGTAACGTGGATGCTGGAGACAGCAAGTTGGCTCTTGCAGGTTTTTGAGGTACGTGGAAGCCTTTAGTGACATGTGCCTAGGTAGAGGTTAGGAAAAGGGCTGCAGTTAATTAAGTTAAAAAGCTTCTTACTTGACTGTACAATCTTAGAAAGATCTTCAGAGAAGGCAAATATTGCCAATATATTTGTTTTACTCTGCATAATTTGACAAACCTATGCCCATGCTATTACCATCTTTCACAATACTACTTTTAGTGGGTGAGACCTGCCATAGCCATGAAATCTCCCCATATCTGTTATACAAAGGAAATGAAAACTCTGCTCATGGGTGTATGTTCCAATATTATTTCACTACTTTATTATAGATATTAGTGAACAGAGAATAAGTGATTTATACTCTTCCTTGAAAAATACTTTTTATCTACTGAATCTCCTAAAGAATCAATTATTCTCCATTTACTTGAAAGTATAGTGCCATTCGAATTACTTAAAATTTCATTATATTTATAATGACATTATATAATGCTTCCCACTCTAAAAATTTAATATTCAGTAAAGACATTTAAGGGGACAAAGCAAGCAAACAAAACTGAAAACTGGTACACCAGCTTAACAAAGTAACATAACACAAATATTTAGTTCAAGAGTTTATACACATGACGGGGCACATTTCTCAAAATATTTAAGTTTCCTGACTTCAGGTGGCATCACTAAGATTTGCAAAGAGATATAGTGACACACAAATTAAAAATGTGGGGTTTTGTGGTTTTTTTTTTTTCCAATTAAAGCCATCATCTTAAATTTTTTTTTACTTAAAACAAAGATTTAAAAGGTCAAAATCAGAACAAACCACTTAATTCTTTCCCTGGATACCTGTTTATAGAGATTTGTTGAACTTTTCAGCTTTGATTTCAAATGGAAAACATTTTGAAGACAGGAAAAACACTACCCGAGCAAGCAGTTCAATCTATAGTAGAAGTGAGTGATTATTTGCAGCAGACAATTTGTTATGAGAACATAAAAGGTAGAGAGGTTTCTTCCTCTTAGAGAAGGCAACTGCTGTTTTCTTTATTCAGTTTCAGGATATTATTCATCAAATGCTTATTTTAGCTGCTACCATACACCTCCCTAAACTCTCGTAACAATAGTTCTAATGTTCGCATTATGTGACTAGTCATCTAAATGAATAATTTATACTCATTGAGGCACAGAACAGCAGTATCAAAAACCAGGAAGAAAGGTATCACTAAGGCCTTGTGGTTTTCACTGGCTGCTCCAATATACTGAATACTGAGGCAGTGAGTTGGTAGAGTTTTGGCTCCCGAGCTTGTGGAAGAGAGTTTTACTGACTGGAAAAACTGACGTATAGCATGCTCTCAATAAAAAAACAAGGGGGGGGCGGGGAGAGAAAGAAAAGAAATTTGTATCTCCTTATAGCCACAAGAACTCAGTGGTCAAGTTATATTACATTTCTCCTAGGATGTGTTTGTACAGCAAATAACAACTGTGACTGTAGCCCGGGGAGCCATACCTTCACAAGCTTTAATCAATCTAATGTGTAACTGTAGCAATAACAACGTAGAAGCAGCAGCTCAATTTAAGCTTAAGATACAATGGACCTCACTAAGTGAGAGCACCTTCATGATGATTAGCATACTATTAACTTCCGCATATTAACATCACCTCTTGTATCAATTCATTTGAACATGCTGGATAGACAATCCTCTCAAAAGCACAACTATTTTGATCAAGCAATTTACAAAGGGCTCTGAAGGATACACGTCTCAGATCCAAACAAAGTAGCTAGAATTTTTCCTGACATTTAGAACTCATTAATTGTGGTGTCCCAAGTACTACTACATTACAGACAGACAAAGAAAATGTCTTTCAACATTAAGCTCGCTTTGAACAGTAAATGACATAAAACCTACATACAATGTAGTAATTACATTTAAGAATAATTAACTAAAAGTTTTGCAACCTACAGCACTGTCACTCCAGTGATATGGAACCTATGTTTCAGGAACAGACTCCAAATCTATTGTTTGCTTAATGAATTCAAATCAGCAACTGCATACAGCCACAGAAGCAACAGTGCCAATGGCAAGACACACTTCAGAAATGGAAGTCTATAAATTTTAACAACAATGGACTAAAAACGCCAAAATACCCTCAGGTCTCACTGGCTCTTGAAACTGCTGCATTAATCCCACAAGGCATTCTTCCTTTTCAGTGGGTCTCTGACCTGATCACCCTATCAAAGAAAAGATGAAATGGAAAAAAAAAAAGGGGGGGGGGGGGGAAGATGACAGAACCTCTCCACATTAAAAAGGAAAAAAAAAAAAAAAAAAAAAGCAAAAAAAATAAAGAAAAAAAAAAAAAAAATAGGGGGGGGGGGGCGAAGATGACAGTACCTCTCCACTCCACAACCCCTTGCTTTCATTATTAAAATTCCTTTGGGTTGCTGAACTATGCAAATGTTTCCGAGAGCTGAATACTGACAGGATATGAGAGGTATTCTAGGTTTTTCTTTGCCACTGAGGGCTGCTTTGTTCTAGGCAGTTCTTGAGAGGTGAGAACACCTGAAAACACTACTATTCCAACTCTATAATTTCCTCATGCAGTTTTAACATTGTATTTAGTAAGGGCTATCCCAACACTTACATAAATCTTCAAAAAGAAATGAAAAGTGGCACATATGCTGATGAGAAACAAAAGATATTTTGAGAGCAGTGAAATATTTCTTGCTGGATGGTCCATACCTAGGAAGGAATTCAATCACTGCCACAGAAAATCTTGTTAATCAAAATATGTGAATAAGCATTCTGTGATTTGCTGAGCACCCACAGACTGAAAGGCCAGCTCAAGGTCTTTATGAATGTAAAGCTTTACTTTGGCAGATATTAAGTGCATATTTGTGCTGCAAAAAGCTTGTGTCTGGCCCTCTGTCTTGGAGAGAATATCACCTACTTTCTTCAAAGATGAATTTCACCCAAGTTTTTTGTTGTTGTTGTTTTCAGATCAGGAATAAATTTTCTCCACTGCAGATTCACAATGCTAATCCAATACAAACCTGACATACTTCAAACAAAAGCGTATCTTCCTGTGTTACTAGATCTGTATCTTCTAGTCTCCAAGTTGTTCTGTGTCTGTGTTAGAATTACTTATTTCATTTACACTTTTTTCTTTCTTTGCTTCTTTTCTAGAAGTCTTCAAACACTTGTCAAGTCTTTTTAGGAATACATCTACATCTTGCTTTTTAATTCCAATTGCTGAGGCAGCATTGAGGTAAGCACAGGGATAGTCATTTGCATGTGACATAAAGCCTTTAAAAGTGTAGTTATTCACTGTTTGTACAGATCCACAGGGAACAACCCTGAAACAAAAACAAAATTGTGATTCAGTTAAAGATGCCTTGGATATTTTATGTGATACTCTATGATGAACACATTTACACAAGTTCCGATACAGTGTAATATCTGCTCACTCTAAACAAGTTAATGTAAGCAGGCTTAGATCAGGCACTCTCCAAGTTAATGCCCAAGCATCACTATGAGTGACAGTAGTAGCAGGTCCTGAATTAGCTCAAGTCTGTGTGCATATGCATATGTCCCTTTGCCTCTTCAGTTAAATTATTAAGGTTTTCATTACTGGTATTTATGAGCTCCCCAGTGTGGAGGGAGAAAAGACATCTGCAGCAAACTTTCCTATTCCATAACAAGCCCTAACTATCTGACCTGCTCTGTCTCTGACCTGGATCAGTTCGCCCCTCTTTAGGCAACCTGGTGACCCTGACCTCCCCGGGATCACCATATTGACAGCAGCCTTAGTGCAGGCACCTGCTTGGCATAGCGTACTGCAGTCCAAAATGTCTGGGTTCAAGTGATTCAGAGGGCTCAGGATCCCAACTTCCTCTGATCCATTCCTCTCTACTGCATCTCCCTTTTCCCCCATCCTATGATGTTAACCTCATATTCATTCCCTCCTTGTAGCAGATACTTTTTGCCACCACTTTTACCTCTTCCTCATACTAAGAACCTCTGCCTATTACACCCTATTTCTCAGCACTTTCAGTACATATCCATTCCCTGATAAATCAAGACCCTAATCTACATCCTTACTTGTTAAAGGAACAACTTACCTTGTGGCTACAGTTAAAGCCTACACAAGCAGTTAACACCAATCAACTGATAATAATTTACTACCTCTATAGAGACATTCCCTGCAGTTCATAAAAGAAACTGCATTCAGACAAACACCACTAGAATTAGCAGATCCTTCCAGTGTCCAAGTGCTCTGACCACAGGTCATGCAAAAGCCTGTATGCTAGTGAAGTAGGGAGTTGCTACTGCTACCACTGACACTCAGTGCAAGCATAACATTTAAAATCTGTTGAAATACCGGGTCAAACAGTGTATATACTGCAAAAGAATTACTCGCTTATATAAAAAAAGGAAAAACCTGAAACCTTTGTATCAGGCAAAGAATTGGAGAGTTTTAACTTTTCAAAAATTGAACCTCTTGAATCATTTCAGCCAAAGATGGCTGAAATTGCAGGACAAACCAAGGTTAGGACAGGCAAATTAAAAAGAGCATCTAACTACAGCACATACAGATTTACTGTCATTCATCTGTGCAGGAAGTGGAATAATCCAAGCTAATGAAGCATACCTTCTGATGTGGAAACATTCAGCTCTGCTACAAAAAAAATGACATTAAGTCTGTGGCAGAAGTTAGCATGGCAGCAGTAATATTCAGATTAAGGAATCCTGCCAAAACAATTTTTAAATAATTCTCTTCTTCTAAAAGGTTTAAACCAGAACCATTAAAAATTATTTGGCTTGCGTTTCCATGTACCAATGTCTCTAAGAATAAATTCAAGTCAGACTGGCTCAGGTTGTAGATTTTTACAGGTTGTTTGGTTTTTCGTTGTTTTT